AAATTTTTTTTTTTTTTTTTTTTTTCTGTTATTTTCTTAGAGGCATCACACTACTTAGCTATTTTTCCTATTTCTTAAGCCCTCCCAGTACCTTTGCAAATAGTTCTTTTATTAAACTCTCCTTAATGCTTTCAATTTGTTTGCTATCAAATTCCTGCTGAGGCTCTGACTGCTATACTCTGCAACTGTGCTGGGCAGTAATCACCTCTTACTTTTCTTCTGATCTATTTTATTCATAGTATTATCTTCTATTCATTCATACTGTATCTGTTTTATAAAGCACCTCAATCTCCTTTTTCAGAGTCAGCATGTAAACAAGCAATAGAAATTGCAGAAGAAATATCGGGTGCTCTTAATACTTGGGGAGATCACAGTCTATGAGAGAGACATCCTCAGAAGTAAGCAGTTACAATGCATTGTAATGAGTTATAAAGACAGAAAGACAAAGGACTTGGGATTTAGCTCAGTGGAGCCACACCTGCCTCGAAAGGGCAAGGCCCCGAGTTTGATCCCTGCCCCCGGCAAAAAAAAAGTTGGAAAGAAAATTTCATTGGGTCCTGAGTGGTAAAGTTTCTGATTGCACATGGAAGTGAGGGGAGGTGGGAGGTCAGGGACTGGAGTGGAAGAGCACTTAGCTGGCTACCAAACATGAGGCTATTAAAGACAGATGAAGAGAATGTCACAGGCATTTTATGTAGATGGCTAGTCATGCATCTCCCTGAAATATCCATGTTCTTGCTTGGTATATTGGAGTTCCCATTCATTTCCTAAAGCATTACTTATTTATTATTTAAAAAGTCCTTTAATTTTCAAGTCTTGATTTAGGAAGAAAAAACCTTGAAGATGCAAAATACTTTGTTATTCTCTAAAGATTTATGTTTAACTCAAATGCGACTAATGAGCCTTGCAAGATATGCATAATTCCTTTCCCCTTTCATGTACTACAAAGCTTACATAAATCACAAATCTACTTCATCAAAGGTTTTTTTCTTTTCTTTTTCTTACAAGATAGATTATGACTGAGAATATGAGCAGCAGGTAAGTCTTGTATAAGATGTAAAAAAATACACTTCAGTTTTAATAAGAGGTGAAAATTGTAATAGTCCTTCAGAAGGAAATTGTGATTTACTATCTGATCTTAGAATAGGCCTAAGGGTAGTCCACAAAGAGCCTGCAGGCAAACATAATGCATCCTGCTATCTGTGCTAGAGATGGCTATTTATTATCTGTCACATATGTTTTAAAAAGAAAAGACTATGTGATCAAAATCTCAGAATTGTTTAATTTTGGATTAATCAGAGGATGAAACATGGGCTCTCAGTCTTTCATCAGCTTCAAAATGAGTTCCAAGTAGTCTGCTAACTTAAAAATAAAACCGAATGCAAACCTTCCCTGCTGTGTATGGAAAGGTTTGGCTAGCAGGCCTCCTGGACTTTTTTGTCTGTTAGGTTTTTAATGAGAACCAAAGTCTAGGTTCTGGAACACTGTGAATTTTGATTACAGTGGGGCTTCTGCCTGCCTGGAATGCCAGAACTGTCTGAAACCTTGTGATCTCATCAGCCAGATTCTAGATGAAAAGCTTTGGAGAGGCTTCTCAAATTCTGCTCAACTCTTGGTTTTACTCCAGACAAACTAAATCCGCAGAGGTTCAATGAACACAAAATCCTGGCTAATCATTGGCTTTATTAAATGCCAATTCTCCTTTAGCAAACAATTATAAGGCATAATTACTAGTAAAGGAAATCAATTGACCTTCTTAGATTTTTTAATTGCCCATTTTATTTTGCTTTCTCATAAGTATCAAAAAGATGTCACTAGATTTAATGTGATATTGTGCTTCTTTTAAAGGCCTGGCCTATTGAAAGTGAGGAGAAGCCTCAGTGGTTTCCAAAGATCACAGTGGCCTATGTCAGCTCCAACCTCTGGAGAAAGCCCGCTGGGGAACAGAGGTCAGCATGTGCTCAGTTTCTTGGCTTCTCTCCAGAGACTTCTGCAGAAAACACTAGTCAGTTGGCTTCATGGGTAGGTTGCATGTATGGAGAGAAACCAAGACATAAGAGTCATCCACACAGTGATCACTGAGTTCCTCAGCTTTAAGAAGGCTGTAATTAATTTTGACACTTAGTTTAAATTACATAACCCTGGGTCAACGTGAACAATAGACATCATTGTTGAGATCATGCGCATCACAATATTGTGATGGGGCACTGGATCACAAACTCTAGTATTCCAACATATGTGGTGAGACCAAGGTTTTATGGGCTACCTAGCAGTTTTGTTCTGCTTAATAAGGTGAGGAGATAAGGTATTGTTATAATTTAGATCTAAAATGTCTCCCGAGAGTCTCAGGTTCGGAGGTTGGGCGTAGTCAGAAGAGATGGGTCACCGGGGCGTGACTTTAAGGTTATATCCTCATTCCAATTCCTCCCTTCTTTGTGCTTCCTGGCTGCCACAATGTGAGCAGTTTTGCGCTGTCAGGCCCTTTCACCATCCTGCCTCTGCCTTGGAGCCAGCTGATGGTGGACTGCACCTACTGAAGATACGAGCCAAAATAAATTTCTCCTCCTGTAAGTTGTAGGCTTTGGATATTATATCCCAGCGACATGGAAGCTGACTAACACCTGTATGTATGTTGGCTGAAGTGGAGGAGGGAGGCAGTAGACATCTTCATTATAAGGTAAATTCTGTAATATTAGATAGGCTAATTTTAACTGATAGCTAGCTCTTACTGAATACAAAAGAAGCATTTTTTCTTCTTTTGCTCTTCAAACATTCATTGATCCCTTAAGCTCTGAGCTAGGATTCTAAAACAAAGGAAAAAGGTTAGCTGTTGTCCTTATAGAAAAATCCCTGATACAAATGAGCAGAAAGTGTTATAGGGGTTCACATAAAGGAGCATCTCACTAAGGCCAGAGGGAGCGAAGATGGAAAAATATTTGAGTGAAATCTTGAAAAACAAATGGAATGTCAAAAAGACCCAACAACATTATGAGGAAGAGGGAAGGAACAGTACAAATGGCTGGAAGACAGGAAAGAACATGACACACTTGCAGAGCAAATACTCTAACCACCACTGATGTTACAGCTTCACACCCATGTGTGCATATTACCCAAGTCTATAAATTCAGTAGATAAGCCTCTTTGTTGGGCTAGCATGAAACGATGGTCTCTATGTTCAAATATATTTCAAATAGAAGAGACAAATCACTATCTTCTGTTAATAGCACCTGTTACTTTTGTTTCAAAAATCATCTTTACTCCATTTTCTTCTCCGTGGTTGAAATGGCATTGATTGTGGCTTCATGTCTGACCCATAGGAACCTGGTATTCATCTGAAATACTTGGTTATCCTGGTAGCTCAGACAGATCAAGGCATGGAAGAGTAAGAGCTGGTGTATGTGCGTTTGTGTGTATGCATCAGGGGGTGGCAATGAGGCTAGAGGAGCACACAGAAGCTGGAGTACAATGATCTGGTGTGCTGTGGTCACAAGTATGAACATGACGTGGATCAACTGGTGCATGTAAGACAGAGGAATGATAGTTCAACTGGACTTCTAAATAAATCTTCAGAGGCCCATGGGGAGCTCATTAACTAAAACAGGTCATTCCAGTTAGGCAGGTGAAAGTGAAGAAAGCTTAAATGGTAGAAAAAGAAAGAAAGAAAGGAAAGAAAGAAAGAAAGAGAGAAAGAAAGAGAGAGAAATAAAGAAAGAAAGAAAAAGAAAGAAAAAAGAAAGAAAGAAAGAAAGAAAGAAAGAAAGAAAGAAAGAAAGAAAGAAAGAAAGAAAGAAAGAAAGAAAGAAAGAAAGAAAGAAAGGAAGGACCATGGACACTTGGGGGACATCAGCTGATAGAAAAAAAAACTCCATTTTGGATTGTAGAATTTGAAAATCCTACTGAATATCTGATGTTCACTCAGCCACTGGCTAATAACGTATAGGGTTAAACTAAAAGAAATGAAATGAAAATATATATTCCAAAGTTGTCAGTAATGATATTAATGTTGGATTATGTTGGATTAAAGAGAGTTTGTGTATCAGTTGGCATCCTATGAAATAAAATCACTGCTATATCATGTGGAGGCCCCATGGTAGTTTTACTTATTTGGTTAAGTCAGGTAATATAAAGACATCCCAGCTGGAGTTTAACTCCTGAGACTTATTTTCCATCAAGCCATTGTTTTCGCTTTGTTGTTTGTTGTAGTTCTTTCCTTTCTCCTTCTCCTTCTTCTTCCTCCTCTTTCTCCTTCCTTTGTTTTCCTTTTTGCAATGCTGTGCAGATTCTGACAATTTTAGTTTACTCAGCTCAGAAATGGGAACAATCTACCTACCAATTAAAGTAAATTTTCTTTGTAAACTTTTATATATTTTTGTTATAATAAGTTCAATTCCTGGCAACATAAATAAAACTACATAATCAAGTGACTTTGGCTAAATATTTCCAGTAGTAATACATGTACAAAAGAGAGTTGTGATAAGCTTTCTGTAGATTCTTTTTTTTTTTTCAGGCTTGAAAGTTTTTTATTAATTCCAGATAGAAGTTGTTTATCAAATATGTGGTTTGCACATATTTTCTCCTAGTCTGAAGCTCATTTTTTTCTGTGTATTCTTTTTAATTCATGTTATTTCTTTACAACCCAGGCTTCTCCATTGTCTCTAAATGTCAATGCTCACAAATTAGGATATGGAGGTGATTTTTTTCTCTCAAATATGTTTGATTTAGTGTGCATTGTGTGATTTGAAAATTGACATAGTTATAGCATTAAAAATAATTTTGTATAAAGTTCTAGTTGTCTGCTTTCTTAAAAATTAGAAGATTTTGAACACCAAGTTCATATTTTTCAATGGTGATATCATTTGGAACTGGACAGATTCTACTCACTTAAAAACATTTGGTCTTAAAATAAAACAAATATATGGGCTGGGGATTTAGCTCAGTGGTTCAGTGGCCTACCTTGCAAGTTTAAGGACCCGAGTTCACTCCCTGGTACAAAAAAAAAAAAAATTTTTGTTTTGGTTTTTAGTTTGCCTCAGTTCTTCCTATTCCATATATATATATCCTTTTCCCTTTCCTCTTCTTTAGTAGTTCCCCTTATATTTTCAGGTCATCTTGTCCTTCCCAGATTCCACTTATGAGAAAGAGTGAGACTTGTCTTCCTAAATCTGACTGATTTTGCTTAACATAATGCTCTCTAGCTTCATACATTTTTCTAAAAATGACTTGATTTCATTCTTTATGGCTAAATACCCCATTTTGAACATACATCACACTTTATTTATCCAGTCAGCAGGAGATGGGTACCTAGGCTATTTCTGTAGTTTAGTTATTCTGATTTGGGCCATAAAAAACACAAATATGTAGGAATCTGTCTAACATACTGACTTTAATTCCTTTGGGTATATGATGAGAGGTGTAGCTACATCAACTCTTAGCTTTGTAGGTTTTTTGGAAGATTTATACTGATTTCCATATTCCTGTACTAATTTAAATTCCCACCAAAAGTGTATAAGAATTCCTCCCCCCTCACATCTGTATCAACATTTATTTATGTGTGTGAGTGTGCATGTGTGTTCTAGCCAGTGAAAGCCTCCTTAATTTTCAAAATGACTTTAAAAATTGGTGTGAAAATATTGTGGCCAGTTTGGATAGCAACATTTTAAAATCTTAAATTGATTTTTAAGGTTTCTTTCCTTTTTTTTTTTTTTTTTTTTGCCTTGCTGCAACTTTCCTTTTATTTTATTCATTGTGTATTGTTACATTTTAGGACTATGATGACATTCATTATTGAGAATTTGTATCATATCTTGGTTCTTATTTATTCACCATTTTTCATGCTTTCAATGTATCTTTCATTAATTGATCACAGATGACAGCCTGTCTTCTAGTTCTGACAGCCTGTCTTCATACTAGTTACTCGTGCAGTCTGTACATTCAATAGAACTTTTAATCTCCTGTATTTAGTTTGTATATATTCACGGAATCTGATTCCTTTCTTTGCTGGATATTCATATTTTTCATTGGTTTGTCTAGCTTTACTGGCTTTTTATTAGTGTCTTCTGTAGACTTGTTGATCATTTTGTTTATTAGGATCATTATCTATTTAGTTATATCTTATTTGAATTCACCAAGCACCTTATTGATCTTTTTTGTTATCTCCTCTGTTATCCTTTGAAGTAATTTGATTGCATGGCTCTTAATTTCCTCTTCCTTCACACTCCTTAGATTGGCTTTGGGAGAGTTGTGAGATGTTTGTTACAGGCATTTTGTTGTCTTCTTATGTTTTTTGTTTGTTTGTTTTCTGTGCTGAGGCTTGCGGTAGATTTTAGTGGAAGTCTATTGCTAGCATAGAGACTTCTTTAATTAGTGTTTGATTTTCAGTGTTGCCAATTAAAGGTCTTGCCTTTTCCCAGGATGCCCCTACCTTCAATTATTTGCGAGAAGAGAAGGCAGTGTGTTTGACTCTTTACCCAGTTCTCTGGAAAAAGCCCACCATATTGTTAATATAACCATGGCAATCCCCATACTGTCATATAGAAGAAAAACAACAATTGATAACAACAACTATGTCACCTTGGCTATAATTAAGCAACAATAATAGCATCATAGACTATCTGGTTATTGACATACTCTAAGAACCAATAATGTACGACCTTTAACAATAGAAAAAGAGATCTATGATTATAGTACAAACACTAAGACAAACCAAATATTGACCTGCAATAAATATCTAGTAAATGGAATAACTTTATCTCCACTAACAATAGATGAGTATTTAACAGTGACAACAAGGAGTTAACTTCCTCTATATAGATTCATAAAGCTTAATGTTTATGCTATTAAGGATAGAGAATAAGGGGAACGAGAGCATGGAGAAATAAGAGATAGAGTATGAGTAGGAGGTGATGAAAGTGAAATAAAGGGTCCTATTAAGGAGTAAAATGAAATGAGTAGTATTAGTTCAAAGGAACAGAAGAGGGCAAACAAGAAAATGGAAAAACAAGAATAAAAGAAAACAACCTAAGGGAAAAAAGTAAGGAAAATGGGGGGGTGGGTAAAATCTAAATATCCCATACACACACAAAAACCAACAAATAAATGAGTAAAAAAATGCCGTTTTTCAAAATGAGTAGTTTCCTTCCAGGACCTACAGTATTGGTTTGTTTGTTTGTTTGTTTTTGTTTTGTTTTGTTTTTTAGACAGGTTCTCACTATGTAGTTGAGACTGACCTGGAACTCACTTTGTAGCCCAGGCTGGTCTCGAGCTCACAGTGATTCTCCTGCCTCAGCCTCCCTAGTGCTGGGATTACAGGCATGCGCTACCACTCCTGGCTGGACCTACAGTATTGGAATCCAGCAAGTCAGGGGACAACTGTTAAAGCCAAGATGCCTCCCTGCTCACATGGGTAAACAGAGGCAATGAGACCATCAGTCTTTGCTGAATACAGGCATAGGATTGGGCCTCCACTAGACTAGCAGGCTCAGTGACATCACCTTCAGATCCAGCCACCTCTGAAAGCCACATCTGCTGAACCTCACCTCCCATCATAGAGAGAGGGACCCATGTACTCTGAAAAGTTCACGAGCTTGAACTTTTCAAGGGATCTGTAGATCATCCCTCACCCTCTACATCCATCTTTCCTGGCTGTCTTTCTCCCAGTCAGTCACTGTGGTAGGGTAA